TTAACCGCATTGCCTTTAAATTTAACCACACACTACTCAGTAACCGCTTTTACATTAAATTTTTCCGCAAATTTTTTTGTGTGTAATCTATCTATAACGTACACGTGCAATGTGTGATAAAATCTTCGCACAAAAACAGCATAACTCACCTCAGACGAATACAGAAGCTATTGAAATTAAGATGGAAAACCACCACGATATTGCTTGTTCAAGTCAAAAATCAAAGAAAATCACCAAAGACAGTGGAAAAGATGAAATTTATATGGATAGTTGCCAAAGTTGGATAATTGTGATAGCAGCCTTTTTCTCAAATGCAATCAGTAAGACTTTTTGGGATATTTTTTATTTTCTATTAAATATTTTTATTTGGACTTTGATATCATTAAGTCGATGGGATCATATATACAATGGGCATGATAGAAAATGAGTTGTCAGTTGAGTTTAATGAAAGTAAAGTAGCTACATCTTGGGTTCCATCTATTGTTTCTGGGATGCCGTTGTTGGGAGGTAATTGTCTATTCCATTTTAAATACCCATATAGTTCATTAGCGGAGTGATTTTGTCGATGCCAGGATTGTGCGGGGTTCGGCGGAGATGGCAAACATGATGAATTATATGGGTAAAAGCGATTTTTTTAACGACATTATTTTCCAAAGGACCAATTGCATCGCATTTCATAAAAAAGTACAATTGCCGTACAGTAGCCATCGTTGGATCAATATTGAGTGTAATCGGTTGCTTAATTAGTGCATATGCACTTAATATCACTACTACTATAATTACAATTGGTAATTTTGCATAAAACTTTTAGTCAATAGATAATTTCATCTTTGATGTTACATTTCACTTCAGGTTTTGTAACGGGAACAGGTTTTAGTTTCATCTATTTGTCGGTAAGAAATAAAATTCAAATAAAAATTCTTGTGTGAAATGAACTATTTTACTCCAGGAACTAGTTAGCGTTACTACGAATTTTGAAAAATATCGTTCCGTGGCAACCGGTGAGTTCTTGTGTTTAATTATGATAAAATATAGACATAAAAGCCTGTTATCTCTTATCTCATTTGAGCTAAGTATAAGCTCAAAGTGCGACAAAGTAAAGTCTCTCCGTTTTTGCAATGTAATTTTTTTATAACTCTTATAAAAAGAAATAAAAATGGTAGGTGAAGGTAATTTTCTATCGAATTCGTCTTCTTTTATCGGTTACATGGAATAGCCGGAGAAAATGAGAGCACGAACTTTGAATGATTTTATTTATTTTTAAATGTCTCGAAACATATTCTTGTTTTCCAAAGACTTTCATGCTTTCATTAAAAGTTCTTCATTTATATCTTTTTTATGACTGTCCATATGGTTAGTCATAATTGAAAATATTTGAATTTATTCGTAGGACTGGCCGCATCTGGGACTGGATTTGGAACTTCAACATTTGCTCCGCTTGTTGCTTTTTTCATTGAAAATTTTGGATGGCGTACAACTTTGCTTATTCTTGGCATGATTGTATTAAGTTGTATTATATTCGGTGCTTTATTTCGACAAAACAAAGTTCCGGAAACAAATAAGAGTATGAACACAGATCAAAATGATAACAGCCGTGAGTTAAATGATAACAATGAGTTTAATGGTCCACAGAATAAT